GGACGAGTCCACTTTGCACATTTTCATACATTGATTTGAGTGTTTTTTTTTTGGTGCGAAGATTTAAAAAACCCTCAAGTTGCGTCCCATTTTAAAACATCTCTAGCATTAAAAATGTTGTGCATATTTGTGTTTTTCTCACAGGCTTTCCCATATGCATGCATTTAACAAAATAACTTCCAATTTCATAAGCACACACCTTGCATGCAAATGCACCCAAATCACTTTGCACTTAACCCTAGAAAAAACCTGTGAAAAAATTCTTTCACCTTTTAGATGTTATTGTAGGAGGCCTCTAATACAGAAATATATGTTTTTACATTTTTGACATTTTAGTCAGTTTTTAGTGAAATGCTGTAATATTGCAACGTTGGGCTGGCTCTTTGGGTAGCAGAATTTCAGTGATTTTATTCACTGTCTGAACAAATGTAGAGAACATCTAAAGGTTCATTTGCTGGGTGAAATGCTTCTGTAACCCCATTACAATAATCTATATATGTATTAGGGTTGGGCCGATAGACGATGCCATCGCCGATGACTGACAGACATCACGATGTTGAGCCGGCATCGTGATCTCCCCTCCCCCCCCATACCCCCCGCCAATCTGCCGCATCCCAATTCCGTGTTCGGAAAGGAAATTAAGTGTGCTACGGAACCCCTAAAGGGAATAAATAGCCTACGAGATGGGAGTATAAAAAAAAATATTTCAATACTTTCTCTTGCAATTATATCGTTGGGTAATTACTGTATTGTATACACACTAATAAGCACACAATAATGATAAAATAAGTCTAATTTTTATGAAAAAAAAAACATTTATTATAAAAAATATGTTTTTTGATGGTCATCAAAACCTGATGAACTGAATGAAAGCTTTAAAATATTCTAAATGACTTGACTTTAAAACTTTCTTCTCTTGTATCACAGTCCATCTCAAAGTCACTGTTCTCATTTTGGACAGCATCAGTGATATATCATACACACATGATGAGACCGTCTTTCTTGGCTGGTGGCAATCTGAAATGGAAAAAAAAATTATTATTTTCCAGGCTAAAATTATCAGTGCAAATTGATCCCAAACATACTTACACATTTTAAAGAATTCACCCATTCACAGAATTCACACATTCCACAGAATTTACACAATACTGTCTGATAGCTTATTGTGCCCTTTACTTATCATGCTAATAGTATACTCCCCACATTCCAGAATATTATCACCTGTCCCTCATGCAGCAAGCAGATATTTGGGCAAACAAGCAAAGGGCCAGTTAAGTACATTTTAAGATACAGATAGTTTAAAATATTGCTACACAAATACTTTCAAATTATTGAAGAAATAATTTATTCTTCAACTTGAAGTCACTGTTCTCATTTTGGACAGCATCAGTGATATATCATACACACATGATGAGACCGTCTTTCTTGGCTGGTGGCAATCTGAAATGGAAAAAAAAAATATTATTTTCCAGGCTAAAATTATCAGTGCAAATTGATCCCAAACATACTTACACATTTTAAAGAATTCACCCATTCACAGAATTCACACATTCCACATAATTCACACAATATGGTCTGATAGCTTAATGTGCCCTTTACTTATCATGCTAATAGCACTTATACCCCCCACATTCCAAAACATTATCACCTGTCCCTCATGCAGCAAGCAGATATTTGGGCAAACAAGCAAAGGACCAAGTACATTTTATAAATGATAAGATACAGATAGTTTAAAATATTTTTACACAAATACTTCGAAATTATTGAAGAAATAATGTATTCTTCAACTTGAACTTATCAATTAATAATCTTGATTGAATCTCAAAATTGTAACAAAAAAGACATTTAAAACTTGTGAATGATCAAAAACGGCATGTTTCTATTAGTATGGAACAGGTGAGAAGTACAGTTCATCCATGTAATGTGCAAGGTGCACAGGCAAATTTTTCTACCCCTTTAACCCAACATTGCAAAATTACAACACTAACATAACAAGCTCAAAAACTAAAATGATCAATGCATTCAACAATACCTTAATATCTACATGATCTACACATATTAATAATCACAGAAAAGGTTGTGTGAGTTTATGGCCAGGTAAATAGGCCTATTTTTAAAATCTAGCATCCAATAGCATTGCAAGGCTAAAGAATAGGACCCATTAGTTGTGTAAATGTGATCTTAGAGAAAAAAAACATGAGCTGCTTTATTTTAGTCAAGCTAAGACTGATGTTGAAATATTACAACAGTGGGCCTTACAGGGCTAAATTGATTAAAATCCTCTAACTCTTTAGCAAAAATAAGATCTCATTTGAATAGTTTGACTGGCACATGAATTGTAATCCATATTTGATCAGTTTGGAGTCTGTGCTCTACATGAGGTGAGAAAGCTGTGGTCGTTAAAAAAACAAGCACACAAAGCAAGGGTGTGTGTTTTTATCTTCAGAGAGAAAGACTTAATAGTGTGTGAAATTTTAATTTGAACTTGTCAACTGTGCAGTTTTGATTTGACGCTTGAAAGTCTTGCACAACATGATACCACTTTAACAAATCTGTTCATCTCATGAAAATACGCCAAAGCCTGGCATTCATCTTGTTCATGAAATAGCATCATTCCTGCCCTATGGGAGGTTTAAAGAAAGAGTTGACCCCAAAAAATGAAAATTCTGTCAGCATTCACTCTTTTAGTCTGTTTTTCAATGAAGCACCATTAGTAAAATTCTGCCTGATACAGATACTAAGCTGATGAATGGCAGATATTACATTTCTACAGTATTGTCTAAAATAAATAAAAAGGACACAGACTAAAATCATACATTTTAAACGCTTGAAGTGAATTTAGACATCACAACATTATAATGGATATTTATTTTGAGATTTGCTAGACATTTTACAGTGTTATTAAATGTTTAGCATTTTTAAATGTAAACTTTTAAGTGAGTGTTAGATAACACCAACATGAAAACTAAGGAAAATTATATTCATAATTACATATCCAATTTTATAATCAATAATATGAATATCTAGTAAATATATATTATAAAATCTCTAATATTGGCTGATGATAACCTATTGTGCGTCCCTAGTTTTTCATCCAGAGCTTATTGTTTGGCTGCAGAGGTTTTGGAATATCATGCATAAGTTATATAGACCATGTTTGTGATACATTTTATGGTGCTTTCATATCCTTCTTTTTAAAGCTTAAAAGCTTAATCCTAATTTATTGTTATTGTATGGAAAAGAGCAGCCAGCACATTCTCCAACATTTCTCCTTTTGCGTTCACAGAAGAAAGAAAGTCATACAGGTTTGGAACAACATGAGCGTGAGTAAATAATGACAGTTGGCACATAAATAAAAAGATTCTCTATTAAAATACCACACTTCACTACTAGTAAGGTAAAATTCCGTTTTGTATGTTGTTTTATTTACCTTTTTTAGCCCTTATCAGCAGAGTTTCTTGGACCGATATTGAGGCAGGTATCCAGGTAGCCATCCATTTTATTTTTAACTTCAGTTAACTTTGACTCCTCAGTTAAACTAATCGCGTTACGGTAAGATAATGATCTGGATTGCACACTGCTCACTGTTGCGGAGATCACGCTCTCCGTTGGTGCATACAGTGATGTACGTCGTCTTGGCCCCTGTTTGCCCTCTCTGTAGCATGCGGTTTAGTGTACCGCAGCTTTAGTCACAGTGCAATAGAAAAGTCTACGGCTGCTGTGCAGATGAGACGTGCAAGAGGAAAAGCTGCTCGTCTCTGCATTAGTGTGGTCACGGATGGTGGCTTGTTGTGCTAAGGGGGAAATGGCAGAGCGAGGGGGATTTATTTTTCTTTTCTCAGCAGCGCAGAGATCTTATAAACAAACGAGCCTGCAGATGAGCGAATAGGATTTCTCCATCCAAAGCATTTTTCAGGTGTTTGTATTGACCGGTGCATTAATTACCAGCAGCTTAAATACAGCCTAATGCTCCGTGATTGCAAGCAAACAAGCCTCGCGGCAGGGGTCTATATACCATTAAAGACCCCCGTAGGTGTAAATAGGGTTTCATTGACGGGAGCCACTTGGAGAGACTATTAACACAGTTAAGACTGAAGAAACTCAAATGTGTTTTTCTCTGCAGAGCACCTGTAATGGTGGCCAGCGGGACGGGCCCACGCAGGGCCAGAATGGGGGCATGCAGAGAGGAGAGGTGCCCTCCCTCAGCCCGGAGAGCACAGAGGAGCCAAGGGTGTTGGAGCACAAGCGAACGGGCCGGGCGCTAGAGCCAGAGAAAGATCACACCCGCTCTGTTTCTCTGCTGGAACAAAAACGCAAGGTGGTCTCTTCCAGCATCGACGTACCACAAGCCAGGTAAGACTGCGGGATGAGCGCCCCCTACAGGCACAGATGAGAACTGAAGGAATGATGTGTTATTGTTTACTTCATTTTTCATTTTCATGTTGTAAATAAGAACTAGACTGTAGTGCAGGTGAGATCACATTATTTCACATTATTTATCAGGTTTTTTTTCTATAAAATTGCATACATGGATTTTTTCATAAATGGATGGATCCAGTCTTATTTAATTATAGAATATTTTTGAGCAAAAGTGATGTTTGGACAAAAAGTGATTTTTTTTCTTTTTCAGAATCTACTGAAATATTTTCCCTCAATATGCATATTAAAAGTACAAAAATATGGAAGTAATTTGTTAATAGCATATTGTAGTATAGTCTCAGCCTCGTTCTTTAACGTTCCGCCTGGGGAAAAAAATGCTGTGGCGCCCGAAACGTGATTGGTTGCTTTAACTGTCAGTCATATGGCAGCCAAGGTTCCCAGACCTTCTGCCATCAGTCTGAAGGTCTGGCAACGCGAGACAAATTGTAGTATATATACCACTGTTTAAAAGTTTGGGGTCAATATATGGCTGGACAATAATTCAATATCAATATGTATCGCGATATAATTTTTTTAAAATAACGGTGATATGATTTTTAAACACATTTCCGATATTTCGATATACATTACCAGTGTTTCCCATACATTGATTTATTTGTGCCGTTTGACTTCGTTGAATAAACATGAGCACTGCACGTTTTAAGAAATATATCGTGATATCAATTTTGGCCATATCGTCCAGCCCTAGGTCAATAAGATTTTAATGTTTTTGAAAGAAGTTTCTTATGCTCACCAAGGCTGCATTTATTTGATCAAAAATACTATTATAATGTGGAATATTATTACAATTTAAAATAAGTGTTCTCTGTTTTAATATATTTTAAAATGTAATTCATTTCTGTGATGGCCAAGCTGAATTTTTAGCATTAATAGTCCTTTAATTGTATGATTTACTGTTATATATTCATTACATAATGCGCTCTAAGCGAAACGAAGACCACCAGTATATTGATACAAGCTTGTTTGTGGTTTGTGAATCCTGTGGTCTAAACACTTTACAGCACTTACACTTTTTTTCTGACACCTCTAGCATGCAGCAAGCTGTAGAACTACAAAAACATTGTGACAGCTGTATTCCTTTGTTTGTCACAAGTAATTTGAGGCAAGTTTTAACACGCACAAACACACAGTCTTTTTAGTGTGACTTTTTAATTTTTAGATCCTAAAAATCAATTGGCAATTCAATTGACATGAAGCATCTGCTGTCTGATATCTATTACTACACTGAGGCCTGATATCGACTCAATATTTATTTGTTGACGAATTATTGATCTCTTAGCTCAATTTGTATTCTATTCGTCCATTCAGGAAAAAAAATGTCTCACTGAGCAATTAATTAATTTTATGCCTGAGAAAGATGAAAGATGATTTCTGTCTGCGTTAATTGGCCTTGCATGTTTGATTTGCTATAGGTTGACTACCGATGTCCCTAGGTGTTGTATTGATCACCTTAGTGGTGCTCCATTTATGAAGCTCATTATTTTTAATGCTTATAGAAAATGGAGATTAATCCTCCATGTACAACAAATGATGTTTGTCTTGCTACCTCTACATCTTGAGAGATTGCACTGCTGGTTGTGCTATTGGTGCTATACAATTAGTTTTCTGAACATATTATTAATATTAACATGACATAAAATAACATAAACTTCCAAGTTATATATAAAAAGAAACATTTTATATTAGTGGATCATGTCACACTAAAGACTAGTCCAGGGGTGCCCAACCCTGTTCCTGGAGATCTACCTTCCTGCAGAGTTCAGTTCCAACCCTGATCAAACACACCTGTCTGTAATTATCAAGTGCTCCTTCAGATCCTAATTAGTTGGTTCAGTTGTGTTTGATCAGGGTTGGAGCTGAACTCTGCTGGAAGCTAGATCTCCAGGAACAGGCTTGGGCACCCCTGGACTAGAGTAAGCGCTGCTGAAAATTCAGCTTTGCATCACAGGAATAGATTACACTTTAAAATATATTACCATGTAAGTTATTTTAAATGTAATAATATTTCATAGTATTATTGTTTTTACTGTATTTTTGATCAAATAAATACAGCCTAAGATTCAAAAACATTTTCAAAAAATCTTACCAACCCCAAACTTTTCAATGGTATCATGAACCTCTAGGCAGAGCAATTCATGATGATCATATCCTGGCTAAAATCGAACCAATTTTTAGATTTGTGTGCTTGAGTTGATTCAATCTCACAGTGCGTGTAACCATGTTTGCTCGTATATTTTCTTTTCTGTGTTTCTTTTAGACAACTCAAACCTCAAAACATGTATACGTTGAGCTCTGAGGTCTATTAGTCACGATTTTGGACAAGAAGCAGCCACAAGTTTAAATATCTCAAAATAATTATGGTGCCTTTCTGTTGGCAGGGCCGTTCAGTTTAGACAAACACAGACAAAGTTCTGGATAGTGTGCTTTGGTTTCTTTTGCATTTCTCAGCTCCAGGATAGTTGATCAATCCCTTGTGCCAAACTAGCCTGAGGATTAGCTTCACTGTTATTGTGTAAAGGGTTTCCAACATGTCAAAATCAATATATAGAGCCTTGCGACGAATGATTTTTATAAAGCGCCAGAGAAGACTATTAGATTCCATAGGCCAAGAGTCTATTGTATGAAATCACATGAGGGCCATGCACTTAAGTAGATGAACACAGAGAGGACACTTAGACCAAAAAAAAGGTTAGATATAGGTTTAACTACCTTGTGTTTAAATTCAGGAGTGGGTATGGGCGTCAATACTCTGAAATTGTGATTGATTGTCACTGGTCTACCTAAATGGGAAATGGTGACACATAAGGAAGAGAATGGAACAATTAAGACTAAACTGTCGTGAGGAAGGTGGTCCAGATACTTGATTGTGATTGGAGACCAGGTCGCACGCTCTTGAAGTTGTGATTGCAAACAGCAGTGACCTAGATGCAGTGACACTTTAATATCACAGGACTGGAGCTTGTAAGTAGCCACTTGGTTTGTGTTCATTCAGTGTACAATAGAGAGTGTGCTGGGGTTTGTTTGGTGACCTGCAGGTCTAGGGGGGGTGAAGGGGGCCACACGTTTCCCATCTCGCGTCAGCTGTTTCAGAGTTCAGTGTTATTGGATACTGAATAGCTTAGTTCATCATATTTGTTTACAGAGTTCCACCACAAGCATTCTGTGTCTTGTATATTAGTTGACCCAATGTGATTACTGACCTCTCTTTCCCCCATCAGCTTTGCTGAAAGAGAGGTTTATTAAAAGATTGAGAAATGCTGTATGTGGAAACCATTTTGGTTCCTCTTTCTATTAGTGTACAACATAAATCTACAGCAGCTTTATATTTTTTCTATGGCAGGAAATAACCTATTTGAACAAAAACAGTCTGACTTTTAATGATGCAGGCCTCCACCAGACTAATTGTGAGCAGGAAATCAATAATGGTGTGTGTGTAGAATTGTGTAAAAGCAACATTAGTTGCTTTAAGAGAATAGTTCAGCCAAAAAAAAAAAGAGAATATGGACAATATTTACTCACCTTTAAAAAGATGAACCAAATTTGTTTATTTTCTATCTTCTATGGAGCAGAAATCTTTGAAGAATGTGCTTCCCACTCTTTTCCATTAGTCATGCACCAAAATGAAAATTTTGGACACGCTGGGCTGGAAAACAACACAAAAACAACAAAATAATTATTTTAAATTAGACCTTTCTACACATTTCTTACACAAACGCAATGATTCACTTCAGAAGGCCTTTATTAACCACCCAGAGCTGTGTGGAGCACTTTATATGATGGCTGGATGCACTTTTTGGGCTTCAAAATCTCGGGCACCATTCACTGCCATTATAAAGCTTGGAAGAGCCAGGACATGTTTTAATATAACTCTGATTGTATTCGTCTGAAAGAAGAAAGTCATACACACCTAGGATGGCTTGAGGGTGAGTAAATCATGGGGTAATTTACATTTTTGGGTGAACTATCCATTTAAGTGTGTTATCAAGGTTACATGTTTGAGCATTTAAAATAAGAGATTTGTAATCATGAATCATTGTTTATGGGTCCTGAAATACAGCTTATATTCACCTGTGGGAGACTGCAGCAGAGACAGTGGTCAGGAAACCACATTGGAGGATTCTCCAAATAAACCTACTGCTCCGAGAGCTCAATCCCCCGAGTCCATCAAAATAAGCTTTTGCATTACTGTGGTAAAGCTACGGAAATGAATGCAACCAAACTACTAGGTTTCTTATAACCTCTCATACAGCCATATTGCTTGAAATATGGGTGTAACCTTTGTTATTGTTTTTTTTTTCTTTAACAACAAGCTTTTCCTTCCTCTTCATCCCCAACCCCCCTCCCCAAAAACAAGTTCCCTCAGAAAGTGGATGGTGGCTGGGCTGCAACTTTAGAGAGCATGTGATTACCATCTGAAAAGCGCCACTCTTTGCAAAAGCTGAAGTTCTGCGATGCTGGATTTTTTCCAGCACTCTCACAGCAAACAACACAGCGCCTGGTGTTGGTCCTGGGTGTCTTATCAAACTGGACACAGCATGTTGTTTTCTTTTTTCAGACTTCCATGAACTTCACGATGATTGAAACAGTAGCAAAACTCCGCATTTGAACAGGCAATAGCAAATACTTAAACTAGTAACAAAACATACTTACAGTCGCTGATTCAGAAGCGCCAGATTGTCATAGCAAAGTCAGAATGACCTCCTCTCCTAGGTTCACGAAACGGTCGTCCATAAAATGCATTGCTGTTCTGTTGTAAGTAATCTTAAAGATTCCTAAATGCATCTACTTTCGGAAGGCCAAATAAAGTGCTTTTGCTTTCACCTAGTGGGCGGTGTTATGTAAATCTTCCCACATCGTGACGTAGACATGTGGGGCGTGTTAGAACGAGCCGTTTTAGGGGGGCGTGGCAGAGT